AAGGGAGCTTTCTGTCGATTCGGGAGTGGATATACTGGCGCCGATCATACAAGCCCTGGACCGTCCAGCACCGATATTAGAAAGGTTGGCGCTGTCGAACGTGAATGTGCGACCCCCGTCAATGGGTCGCGTACAGATGCCCGTGTTTCCTCCCGAAGCCTTCAGCGGATATGCCCCACGACTTCACGGCCTTACTCTCCGGCGGTGGAGCTTCTTGTGGTCATCCCTATCATTCTCCTCGCTGGTTCATCTCATAGTGGCTCACCCCAGTTGGGATCATCCTCATGACGCAGGTGATTTCGAACAACTCTCGAACACTCTCCGGAAGATGTCGGCCCTGGAAAAACTCACGCTCGAGCATGCATTGCCGCCACTCCCTGCCGGTGCCACACGTCACTCCGTATGTGGACCTACCGTTCCTCTCCCCAAACTGTGCAGCATTCGTCTGGTCGACGACGTCCGAAAGTGCGGTCTCGCTCTCAAGCACCTGACCATCCCTGCGACTACAGAATGGTATGTCTCGTGCGTGCAGTACGAACAAGGATGCGATTTCCTATTGCCGTGGTTGGCTACGAGGCTCGGGAATTCGCCTCCCATTCGCACGTTGCTCCTCTCGGAGATTTTTGATTTCCCTACGATAGCCGCTTACGACAGGGAAGTCACGGACTTTGCACGTCCCAAACCTCAATATGCCGTCGACTCTCCCCGCAGCGATTTGGAATCACCATTATTCCGACTTACTCTCGGTCACGAGGGCGGACAGCTTCCACTTCTCCATGTACGATTGCTTCTCAATGCGATGTCCCTGGGGGATATGCGAGTGTTATCTGTGTGCTGCAATCAAGAATGGACTACTCAAAACTGGTCGACCCTGTTCGGGATGTGCAACGATCTGCGGCATGCAAGAATCATGCTTTCGTGCGCGAGACCTCTCTGCCAGCTCCTGTTGACAGGATTCTCGCCGGTTCAGGGAGGACCAGAACCAATCTACCCACGGCTGGAAGAATTGACCTTGTCGAACGTCCGCTTTGGAGACGGGAATCGTATCCGTAACGATGAACTTACGGAGCGGTTGAAGGATCAGGGAATATTGAAGAAGCTGGTGATCGAAAAGTGCAGTATCACCTCGGAGCTGATTGATAGGTTGAAGGAAGTAGTTTTGGAGGTCGTTTGGGATGGGCACGCTCATGAAATGTCGGACGACGGGTGGGACGACTAGGAAGGTTTGCAGGGTTTCCTATAGCTAGTGTCAGCTCTGGTATAGCTTCCATAGACTCTAAATGGTCTCTCACGCGTTACTCTGCGAGCATGTACAATCTAGTGTCCCCACTGGCAGACTGACTCGAGCTCCGAGTCTGGAAATACAATTGAGCATGCTATATTCTGATCACATGTGTGAGTAGTCTGTTCAACCCATTGGACTCCAGGAATTCCAAGGACGGAGACAAAAGATGCGTGTGAATGTCCTACATGCATTCAAATTCATCCAATTTAGAAATGGATAGTGGATCGTCCAACTACATGGCAAGAGATGGCGAGCGCAGACTCTCACGGAGAGAAAGGCTGCCTTTGTTCGATATTCGAAATGAAGGGGAAATTCTCACTGTAGTGAACTTCCAGAGCGAACGTTGGCTATGTGAGAACAGAAATTTTGGAGCTGATTGGGAAGAGCGCCTCCGTCGATTTCAAAGTGGACAGGTAAGAGGTTTCTGCCGGAAACGACAAACTTGCGTCTTCCCTTCCGCGCCACGTTGCTCAACAGTCACTGTCCTATTCGAGCAGCTTGAGTATTATACATACAATTGCAATCCATTGACACATATTCGCGGTATACTTCTTTGTCTGAACATCGTCCTGGCAAGAGAAATAAATTAGGATCGCAATTGTCCGAATTCGCCTGAAAGATTGACATTGAATGCGACCAACCTTTCGTTTCTCGGCGCCCTACTTCTTGCACACCTTCTTGTGAGTCTTCCAGTGCTCCTTCTGGCACGCAGCATCGCAGTACCTGCATAGAAGGCGATGATGGTAAGGCCAAAAACCGATTGCATACATAAAGAAGCCACACGCACCTGGTTTTCCCGCAGCCACTGCACTTCTTCAGTACAACACTCGGGTTCCGACACCACGAGCAGCGGTAGAGCTCCACATCATTGATGTTGAGCGAAGGGTGCGTCACGCTTCCATGACGGTGGTGATGGTCGTGCCCATTCATGCCGGGATCCTCGAGTGTAACTTGTTCCAACCAGTCCGCAAGATCGTCTTCGGCTTTCGCAGGCGTGACCTCGGTCCTAACGTGGGCGTAGGCCGGTATGATCTTCTCCCACTCCTTCCATGCATTCTGCATCCGGTTGACGACCTCCATGCAGGCCAGTCGCATCTGAGTCTTGGAAATGGGCCGGCTCGAAAACCTCGCGAAGCCATCTGCGAGGTCCAATCGTTTCTTAGTGTCCTTTGAACGAATATCCATGTGTCAGTGTTCCTCTAGGAAATCATCCACGGCGGCTTACCAGCAACTCATGCATATCGTTGCTCAACTCGTGTCCCTTGATGAGCAGTGACATCAAGACATTGATATAACATGCATTCCGCATCTTGCTGCTGTCGGGAGAAGCCTCATTTATAAATGTCTGCGAGTCCTCGAACGCACTCATGGCGAATGCGACACCCTCCTTCATCTCCTTCCCACCAGTGATGGCATCCTGCAAGTACATAAGGGCCAGGTCTGCAGCATGCTCTGCTGCGCTGAAGAGCAGTCCAAACCGAACGTAGGGCGTCATATTAGGGCACTTGAGTCCCTTCTTTGCCATACGTAGACCGTCCGCTTGTTTCACCCCAAGTGAGAGAACGTAGTAGTAGAATCCGACGTGCGGACTGCGCTGGATGGCTTTGCGAGCAATGGCATGAGCTTGCTCCCCTTGTGCCTTCATGATGAGGTACTTCAGGTCCACAATGTCTGCCTTGTCCGCCTCATCGGGCCTTCCGCGTGCACGGATAGCATTGGCGCAGTGCGGCAGCGAGTCTTGCCACATAGTGAACGGTAGACCTAGGCTCTCAACCGAGAGCTTGCCGGTGTGCGGGTCCTCTACCGTGAAGCTCCCGCGCGCGATCGAGTATTCGGTGCGCGGAATGAACTCTGCGATCTTGAGACCTAATCCGTATAGATCGTGATCCTCCGCAGCCTGAAACATCGCCTTCTGGAAGTCATTCAGCGTGCGCATCATTTGAACTATCTCGCCCTCGAACGGATTTCGCTCCATGAGTTTGTCGTTCAGATTCTTCGGCCAGCCACGTTTGATTGCCGCCATGATCTTCAGTGGGTCCATCTCCGTCGCATCGGGCTCCGAGTCGTACATATGCAGGCGCAGAATACCTGCGACGCCAGACGCACGAGTCTTGATGTCGTCGCTGCGAGTACATGCCACCAAGAAATCAATCGCTGCTGGATATGCTTGGTACGCCTTGGAGCAATGTTGCGTCGCGCCTGCGAGCATGGTAATGGCGTGCTCAAAGAGCAGGTTGGTCGGCAGTGTCAGCGCTAGCGGCTTGCGAATGAATGAGATCATCACGCGCAAGATGCGTGGTATGTCGACGACCTTCACCAACTTCGCGTCAGGCGAGGCCTCGTTGCAGACGACGGCCGCGACGGCATGCGAGATGGTCGTGATCGTGAGCTCGGCGGCTTTCATGTCGTTGGGCTGCTCTTCCAGGAGTTGCAATAATACCGATGTCTTCTTCGCGATCTCGACGCGTACATTGAGTCCCCCGTAGTGAGTGAAAGAACATAGGGCATGAAGCCCGACGTGGTAGGAGATCGGCCGGTCCAAGATGAGTGTCACTTTCCGCAGGAAATCTGCCCGTTCTTTAGTCGTGCAAATTCGGACTAGCACCAATGAAGCAGACTCACCGGCCTCGTTGAATATGCGATCTCTGAGCACCGCGTCTACGCCTATCTTGGCATATATCGCCACGACGGTGCCCATCAGGCTTTCATTGCCCATCCTGCGCCCGTAGTCATAGATGTCATTTAGCTGATTCGAGATCGCGTCAAAGCTCCGGTGGATCTTCCTCAAGCCACTGCGCGAGGATATATCTATTTTGACGCAGTCAGCACCCTATGCATGTTACCTTCACATCCAGGCCGGCTCCTTTATCCATGGACAGCGAGTGAGACATACCGGGGAGCTCGAGCATGGCGCATAAAACATCCGCCTGTGCTGACCATCCCTCCGCATGGTATACGTTGTCCAAGAACTCATCCGAAGGGATATATCCAGTGCTTGCGGCAAGACCACTGACGGACGGTTTGGACTTTGTCTTTGTCTTGGACTTCTGACCCGGGCCGGGCATGGCTCTGGAAAGTTGAAGAAGATATCCTCCGAAAGCTGTTTAGGCAAATGTTACGACAAAGCGTGACGGCTCTGAGCACGTCGACTTCGCAAACGTTGCGAGTAAAAAGTGGGCAAGTCGGCAATCAGTCGAAGTCACGGTCATATGGGCGAGCCACCGGCGCCTATTTCTTTCCTACCTCGACTCGGATGTAAATATTGATGCTTACGCTCAGGACATGTTTCGTTCTCCCTCCTGTGCGGCAGCAACGTTGTGAGGTGAGCTGTCTAACCTCTCGTCAGAATTCAGATCGCAAGATTCGTTCACTTTACTACTTTCCAGCATCACACAAGACTTACCGCGCCACCCATATTAACACTCGTTTGGAAACCAATGTCGGTGTTCCAGTGTTATTTCTCTCGATGCAAACATCTCGAAGGCATAAAACAGGAGACGTTTAGCGGCCAGGCAACGCCCTCTCCCCGTACCCAGTCAATCATCTACCTCCGGAGACCTTTACGCACATATTGTTTGTCTTCGTCCGCCTATGATCTGGTTGAAAAGAGTCCTTTTAGCCCTTCTGACAACTCTCTTCGATGCATCACGTTTGAGCTTGGTCGCAGATGGACAGAGGGGTCCGTCCATCAGAAAAATGGTGATGCCTATTGTCATCGGATATGGTGTAATGGCTAACATTATCGCCTCTCAAGTTTCTGAGTGATCGCGATAGCTCGGGGTTCGATTCCCCGTATCCGAATGATATTTTTTCTCTCCTCTCTCATAGAGCTTGACGAAAGAATACCGTATGTTCGCTGTGAACTCGCACGTATGCCGCGATGCCTGGCCGTCGTTTGTTCAATGTGATATCATGTTTATCAATAAACTCGGCCGACACATCAACAGTACCGCGGCTGCTTTGCAATACACAATCTTCAAGTTGTCTCCTACCATGACCACAGTCCCTGTCTCCAATGCCGCAGATAAGGTGAGACTAGCCACCTGTCTAGAACAACCTTCTACACTGTGGCAACCTGATATATCTCGACAGCTTCCGTGTTGGGCAGATATATCGTCTCTGTCGGACGAAGAATTGGTCAAGCTCTTCAATAGTTGTCAGGATGAACTTCCGCGAGGATCCTTTCTCAAGCTCGCCTCCGTTCGCCGAATCGCATCTGACGTAGTCATGAAGGCCAACGGCAGTCTGATAAAGAACGAAGTATCGGCAATGGCCATGGCTCTCAACTCAACGTCTATCCTCATCCCCGAAATCCGCCGCACTGTAAACCTGGGAAATTTCGAAGGGTTTGTCATGGATTATATTCCGGGGCAGCGGGTGAGCGACTGCTGGGACCGCCTGAGCCTGTGGCGACGCTTTCGCCTTTTCTGGACGCTCCGTGGCTATATCAGACAGCTTCAACACGTTGTCGTGACCAGAAAGGCTCAGAAAGACCAATTTCCAGGCCCTGTTGCGAGCGAGCCTCAGGTATGCGCCGGTTTTATGTTTACCGAATTCGTAAGTGCATTTCATTCAACATGCATGTCGACATCACTCACGAGTGTCACAGGGCGCCGGGCCGTTTGCTTCCTATGACGAACTGAGCGCATGGTACCAGCACAAGCTTGAGGTCAATCGACGCGCAAAGGGTACCCCTCGAGAAGACGTCTCGTTCGACTCTTCGCTGCCTCTCGTTTTAACACATCTTGATATCTCTCCGAATAACGTCATGATTGACGAGAAATCAAGGGTCTGGCTGATCGATTGGGACATGGCCGGCTTGTATCCGCAGTGGTTCGAGTACCTGGGAATGCGCATAGGGTGGGGGTTCCTTGGGAGATGGCAGCAATGGATTTTGGGGTTCACAGCGGGATTTTTTGAGCGGCAGGCTATGTTTATCTATAAGGTTGACTGGGCTATTCATGTTGGATATATACTCTAATTCTATACCCTGATCATTCGAAATAATAAGTGGCACGTCATGACTTACAGGCTACTCTTATCGTACAGGACACCGCAAGGTGATTTCAAGTCCGTAGATGCCATTCTGAAAGTCGAGTGAGATCGCATATAGCAAAGAAGCTGCGAAAATGCCCACCAATAAATGGCCTGCTGAAGGCGTCGAACGCGGGATTGTTCACAGAGATGTTCACAGAGAATGAGCGTGGAGGGTAACGGCCGCCTGGAAACCGTTAGCGCGCGGTGTGCATGAAAAGGACGGATTATAACCGTGCGCACTCCTGATATTGAGCAGCCTCTCTTAGCACTCAATTTGTCGCGGGTCTGTGGAGCTCTTCATGGCCTACTGGGTATGGGGAAGATCTATGGAGCGGTTTAGATTGTTGACGCCTGAGCGCCGTGCACAAGCCTTGGATGATGTTGGTGCGAGCGAAAGCCCGGGAACCTGGTCAATATTCAGCCATACAGTCGTCTTCGCGCTGCACAGGGACAAATCAGCCTCAACAAAAAAAATATTACCTCCTCAGCACAACGGCTTTCCCAGTCAACTTGCGCCAGAAATGAGATCCGATTTCCAACGGTTTGTGACGGAAGAGTACAACGGCGATGGGACTCCAGGAGGTTAGCCTCATCGTCAGCATCACGACTTGATAAGATAGGTACACACCCAAGGAAGAACATGCTTTTGAAAACGTCGATTGGGTTCGGGCTGGTCGCAAGAAGTGCTTATGCACGAGGAGCGCGGGAGACTTTTCCAGTCCTTGTCGCATCATCGCCCGGATACTCGTAACCCAAATACTTACTACTAGGCTGTTTGATCGCCAGATACGCATGCTAGAATCTGCCCGGGTTAGGAGACATTCAGGCTTGGTCAAGTCGGTCCAGAGGAGGAATCCTTGGCCCAGTGCCGGCTCTGTCAGTGCATCCGAGAGGTTGGTACGTGCGATATGTATCAGTTGTTCAACTTGAATGTCAGAAAACGATTCACAGGGCACATTCTGCTTGGTACGCTCAATGTTTCCCGCTGAGCACGAGCATCGCCCTGAGGTGTAAGTACACATGTTAGAAGAATAGTGGTCTAGCCTATCGTGCCTCCCCGATTTACAGCGCTCTTCGGCAAATGCCGTAGCGGCGCCCGAACACGACCCGTTCCGAAAAGTCGCGAGAGCAACAAAACACTTGTTGTACAGCAGCTTCACGTCGTATCAGTACCCATGAGTCTCTCGTCCATCTTCTCTGCCGTCTTTGGCGGCGACATCCACGCCGACGCGCCTGAGGAGAAGCCTGAGGAAACCCCGGCAGAGCAGCCCGAGGAAAAGGAGGAGGAAGAGGAGGAGGAGCCCGAGGATGTACGTGTCAACGTTTCTTGAGCTGGCGATGACTTCAGGTCTCATAATTTGCTACCAAGATCCACCCTGTCTTGCGAGAGGAATGCCAAGAGTCCGCGAAGTGCAAGCCGCTCACTGAGCACTTCCTGCATTGCCAGGAGAAGGTACAGGCAGGCGAGGGTTTCAAGGGCGAGGATTGCGTCGAGGAAATGTGAGTAATCATGCATTGCGTTCAATGCCGGTGACTGACTCAACGTTCTATGCAGGTGTACGTATTGTTACTGTGTTTCTGTTCAGTGACATTGTCTGACGTTCGTGATATGATGACTGTCGCCGTCCATAGTCCAGTACGTGAAACTCTTTCTAACCATTCGCCAACTCTTCTGATACGTTTTCTCGACAGCATGATGCATTGTGCTGACGTACGTTCGGTAGTCCGCGTTTCGTGACAACGGCTGACAGTCTCGTTCTAGAACTGCGTCGCCCCAAAACTGTTCAGCAAGCTTCGTTGATCCACGCCAGCATTCGATCTCGTAGTAAGCACTCCAGTAGGCTCCATGTTGCTGCCGCTGACCGTTGTTCTAGCTAGATTCCGTTAAACATGGCGTAATTAGATATCTAATAAAGCCGTTCCTTTTCTGAGCTCCCCGTTACAACCAGGGAGGCCGAATGCTTCGATAATCGGCTTCGATTATTGGAGGCAGGTAGCTAGACAAGACGTGCTACAGCGCTGGTTTGCGTTTCGGTTCTTCTGCAATTGACTCCAATTCTCGCCTTCAGACCGGAAGCGCTTCAGACACACGTTGCCTCCTGATGACGTTCCGACCACGAGGTCTTTTCGACTCACGAACGAGCGCTCATGCTCGCTGCAGTTCGACTCTGTTTGCCCTGCATTCCCACAGTCACTGCCAAAGTCGTCCTCTGACGATCCATCAGCAACGTCTCCAGCCCTCGCCCTTTCTCTATGGCCCTTGTCTTCTCCCGTCGCGCCTGTTATGCTCGTAGAACTGTGCTTATGGGATTACTAGCACAACGTTGTGCGCACCTCAAGATCAGAAGCACGATAAGTCCATGTTTCTATTGTCGTGTTTTTCCAGCATCGTCGGCACCACGGTGAGCAAGAATTTGGCGTAGCCAAACGCCACCCGTTCGCTCCCGCCCACGCGTCTTTGGATCGGCTTTCTTTCAATATCGTTTTCGAGGGCTTTCCGAATGCAGGATCTGTCGTCGCGAGCGGTCGAACCCATGTATGACAGGACGATGAACGGAGTTGGTTTTGACCCAGTGTATTACTATTGTGCCTATTTTTCTAAAGCTTTGCCGCTGATACACTGTTTGCGTCGGGTTAGACCTAGGCCGGCACATTAGTGCGAGGCCACAAGTAGGACGGCGGATGCCCTGATGATGTCGTTTCCAACTGTCAATATCGTCTTCCCACTGTCTTCGCCCACGCCGTCTTCTGACTCCTATGAATAACATGCAATTCTGTCGGCATCGGAAGAGGAACCGACATGACCAAATAACGCGCCTGCATGATCACACGTGCGTCGAACAAGTTGGTCCGTTCTTCGTCCATCGCATGTGTCGCTCCTTCTCAGTCGACCGACTTCCTACAGCAATCTTCTGGGGTATTATTGGGTCGCACGTCACATGGTTCAGCTCATATAAATGTCTTCGCTGGCATCATACTCGTCCTGGCTCTTCACCGCCATCAACGACAGCAAGACTCAGGGCCTCATGAAGGCCAGACAGTTTTTCTCCCTACTGCTGGCGCTTGGTACTGGCCGTGCTCTGAATACGTCCACCTCTGGTTCGGATGTCTTCGGGACTGGCGTCTATAACTCCTCCGAGACCCCTGCCAGTCTACCCTGGAACACCTACAATTACTGCAACGCGCCCCATGTAAACGCGAAGCACTATGCAGCGCCGCCCCAATCTCCGGGTTCTGAGCTAGTTTACATGAACGTGATGATTCGGCACCATAAAGTACGCCGGTGGTCTTTTCGTCGACATCTCCCGTTTTACGATTTACATCTTCAGCGGACTCCTGATAATCTCTACCCAAGCGAGAATGAGCTCAACCCAGCTGCAGGATGGAACTGCACCGATTTCCTCCAGTTCAACTATGGAGGAGGCGCAGCGAATGTGTTTCATAACACATTCACGCCGCCAGACCACCCATTCATCAGCCTCATATGGAACGGGACGTGCGATGAGGGTCAGCTTACCGAAGCTGGACTGCGGGATGCCATCCGTCATGGGCAGGCAAGAACCACAATGTGATATTCATTGCTTCAGTCGACCATGCTGAATTACGTATGGCAGGATTTTTGGGGCGTCTACCACACGAAGCTCGGCTTTTTGCATCAAGTCGACGAAAGCGAGATATTCATCCGCACGTCCGTCGCTGATAGGACGTATCAGGTCTCTAGCGGTCTGCTCTTTGGTATGGACTCGGCAACCGCCCATCGCTCG